AAAAACCTGAAAAAAAAAAATTAATATTGAATTACTTATATTGTTAGTATTTTTTTTTTTTCTTTCTAGATGTTAGTTCGCTAGGTAGTTCATTGGCAATTGGGAACAGAAACTTTGTGACAGATGTTAGTTCGCTAGGTAGTTCATTGGCAATTGGGAACAGAAACTTCCATTCGTCCGATAACTCTGTTGGGTTTTGGTTTGATGCTTAAATGAACTTCAAATTGAGCTTAAATCATGGAGGAGGTGTGCCTCCCGGTTTCGTCTAACCTGAGAGGAAAATCTAACACTAAATATTGAGCCTGGGAGCTGAGGAGGGCCGTCAGCAGGATGGGCCAAGCAGATGGAATAAGCATTTCGTTTTATGCAAGGTGCGGCGCAGATTACATCAAACCTGAGAGGAAAATCAATATCAGAGCATGCATATCAACCATTGGGTTAACAATTTCTGCAACCATATAACCTTAACTTCATGAAGTACTTGAATACAAGAAAAAAAACTATTCTGTTCAACTATGTCTAAACAAATATTTTTAAATATTATAACTATTTGTTCAAGAAAAAAATTATATACTAATAAAATTATAATTAAAATTAATAATTTTAATTACTCCTTCTATTTAATTTTAATAGACTTAATTTTCTATTTAGAGTGTTAAAATTTAGTTATTTATTTTTCTTTTTTAAGATATTATTTAATATTTTTATTCCTATTTTAACCTCATTTTAAAAGATAAATACAATATATATTAAATAAAAAATTTTATTTAAATAATATTTAATTAAAATAAATATAAAATTTTATCAATAAATTATTATATTTTTATTGTTTTTAATAAAAAACTAAATCTATTAAAAATATAAAAAAAAGGCAAATTTTTTGTGACAACAACTCCAACCTACTGTTTGGGATGGCACTGATATTTATTAAGGTCATACAAAAATATTGAAAAATGTGTTTGGTTTGATTATTAAAAGAGTTAATAATTGTAGTAGTTTACAAATAATATATAAAATGGTAAATATTTATTATTTAATAATTTAAATTTAATACACACTTGGATCTTCAGATCTAGTAACATCAAGTTACGATTAAATGCATTTTTTTTTCAACGGTTCGAATCGGATCCCTTGTAAAATTATTCAAAAAATAATAATAATTTAAATTTAATACATATATATTGATAT